GAAAAAAAAGTTTTGATCTGCATTCTGAGTTCATCAGTTCTTTATCTGGATATGGATAGCATTTTCCTTCATAAGTCCTTTGTACTTGTCTTGGATTATTGTGCTGCTGAGAAGAGACGAGTCATTCATAGTTGATCATCACATGATGTTGCTGATACTGTGTACAATATTTTCACAGTTCTGCTCATTTCACTTTACATCAGTTTGCACAAGTCTTTCCAGGTTTTTCTAAAATGTGCTTATAATGTGTTTATAATGTAATATATGTGTATATAATATAATAAAATGTATTTCTAATTTCTTATTGCACAATAGTATTACATTACATTCACATACCACAGCTTGTTCAGTCATTTTCCAATTGATGAGCATCCTCTTGATTTCCAATATTTTGGTGCCACAAATAGGGGTGCTATAAATATTTCTGTACATGTAGGTCCTTTCCCCTTTTTATGATCTCTTTGGGATACAGACCTAGTAGTAGTACTGCTAGATCAAAAGTTACCCTTTGGGCAAAGTTACAAATTGCTCTCCAGAGTTGTTGGATCAGTTCACAACTCCACCAACAATGCATTAGTGTCCCAATTTTTGATGCAAAAATTTTATATAAAATATTTGCGAAGCTATTACAGCAATTTATCACTGTGATACTACACTACCAGAACAGGTGGAATTTGGGCCAGGAATGTAGGGCTGGTTCAATATTAGGAAAACTATCAGCATAATTGACCATATCAATAACAAAACCAACAAAAATCATATAACTATCTCAATAGATGCAGAAGAAGCTTTTGACAAAATATAGCACCCATACCTATTAAAAACACTAGAGAGCATTGGAATAAATGGAGCTTTCCTTAAAATAATAACTAGTATCTATCTAAAAACCATCAGTAAGCATTATCTGTAATAAGGATAAGCTAGAAGCCTTCCCAATAAGATCAGGGATGAAACAAGGATGCCCATTGTCACCACTATTTTTCAATATTGTACAGGAAATTTTAGCTTTGGGAATGAGAGAAGAAAAAGAAACGGAAGGAACTAGAATAGGCAATGAAGAGACAAAACTATAACTCTTTGCAGATGATGTGGTGGTATACTTAGAGAATCCTAGAGGATTAACTAAAAAACTTCTTGAAATAATTAACAACTTTACAAAGGTGCAGGATATAAAATAAACCCACATAAATCATCAGCATTTCTACATATTACCAACAAAACTCAGCAGCAAGAGATAGAAAGAGAAATTCCATTTAAAATAACTGTAGACAATATGAAATATTTGGGAGTCACTATTTGACAAAATCTGCTGGGAAAAATGGAAAATAGTATGACAGAAACTAGGCATAGACCAACATCTCACTGTATACCAAGGTAAGGTCAAAATGGGTGTATGATTTAGACATAAAGGTTTATATCATAAGTAAATTAGGAGAGCAAAAAAAAAAATAGTTTATCTGCCAGATCTATGAAGAAGGGAAGAATTTATGACCAAACAGGTGATAGAAAACATTATGAAATGCAAAATGGATAATTTTGATTACATCAAATTAAAAAGGTTTTGAATAAAGAAAACCAATGCAACCAAGATTAGAAGGAATGCAGAAAGATGGGAGACAAATTTTACAGCAAGTGTCTCTGATAAAGACCTCATTTCTCAAATACACAGATAACTGAGTCAAATTTATAAGAATAAAAGTCATTCCCCAATTGATTAATAGTTAAAAGATATGAACAGGCAGCTTTCAGACAAAGAAATCAAAGCTATCTCTGGTCATATTAAAAATACTATAAAATCATTACCAATTAGAGAAATGCAAATTAAAACAACTCTTGAAGTACCACATCACACCTATCAGACTGGTTAACATGACAGAAAAAGAAAAGGATAAATGTTAGAGAAGATGTGGGAAAATTGGAAAGTAATGCATTGTTGGTAGAGTTGTGAACTGATCCAACCATTCTGGAGAGCAATTTGGAACTAAGCCCAAAGGGCTATAAAACTGTGCATGCCCTTTGATCCAGCAACACCACTACTAGGTCTGTATCCCAATGAGGTAATAAAAATGGGAAAAGGACCCACATGCACAAAAATACTTAGAGCAGTTCTTTTTGTGGTGACCAAGAATTGGAAATTGAGGGCATGCCTATCAGTTGGGGAATAGCTGAACAAGTTGTGGTATATGAATGTAGTGGAATACTATTGTGCTGTAAGAAATGATGAGCAGGCAGACTTCAGAAAAGTCTGGAAAGATTTACATAAAATGATGCTAAGTGAAGTGAACAGAACCAGGAGAACATTGTACACAGTAACAGTAACACTGTGCAATGATCAATTATAATTGACTTAACTCTTCTCAGCAATAACAATGATCCAAGACAGTTCCAAAAGACCCGTGATGGAAAATGCTATCCTCATCCAGAGAGAGAACTATGGAATCTGAGTGCAGATCAAAGCATATTATTTTCACTTTGTTTTTTTGTTTTGTGGCTTTTCCCTTTTGTTCTGCTTCTTATTTCACAACATGACTAATGTGGAAATATGTTTCCATAATTGCACATGTATAACCAAATCACATTGCTTGCCATCTTGGGGAGCTGGGAGGGAGGGATGGAGAAAAATTTGGAATTCAAAATCTTCTAAAAATGAATGTTGAAAACTATCTTGACATGAAGTTGGAAAAAAATAAAATACTGTAAACTAGGAAAAAAAGAAAAAGTATCAATGATGTGTATTGGTAGAGGAAAATTCCTCACTTGGAAGTTCCCTAATAGGAATGAAATTACAGATCTAGTCCCTTTTTCCATAAAAGCATCACAAATACACATACACAAACATTAGACTTGGAGTTTCTAGAGAGTAGGGGTGGTCTTTTTGCCTTTCTTTGTACTCCTCGAACAGTACCTGGCACACAGTAGGCACCTGATAAATGCATCTTGACTGACTATATGTGTGTGTGTATATACATATTATATAATATGTATGTATATTTCACACAGAAATATATACATACAGATATTTCATAAACAAGTGTTTACTAAGGTGATATAATAAGAATGGTTGGTTCAAACAATCCCCTATTATATTATATTATATTACATTATATTATATTATATTAGATATATTATATATTATCTAAGTATATATAGTATGTTCCTCTGGAAGGCTAAAAACCAAGGCTTCAGACCTGGCTCTGCCTCTAACTCACTGTATGACTGGGTAGGTCACTGCCCTGCTTTGAGTTTCAATTTCCTCATTTGTTACAGGACAGGGTTGGACCAGAGGATTTTAAAGGTCCCTTCTAGCTCTAATCTAGCTCTGAAAGGGAGTTCTGTGACTACATTATCTCTAAGGTCTCAGATCTGTTATTTTAGTGCAGTGTTTCTTAATTGTGTGTGTGTGTGTGTGTGTGTGTGTGTGTGTGATGGACCTCTCTGGCTATCTGGTGAAGCCTGTGGACCCAATCTCAGAATGTTTTTAAATAATTGGAGGGAATGCTATTTTTCAGTTACAGATGGGGGAAATAAAGATGTAATTTTTCCCCATTCAAATTCACAGACCCCTGAAATCTATCCACTGAGCCCCCCAAGTTAAGAACCATATCCTAGCGGAAAGAGACAAGCCGGCTAAGTCAGAAGGACTGTGTTCTTCTACCGGCTCTGCCACTTACTTGCTCTGTCACCTTTGGGCAAATGACTTTCTCTAACATGGCTTCAATTTCCTTCCCTTTAAAATGAAGAGATCGGACTAAGTGACCTCCAAAGTCTTTTCCAGCCTCAGAGGTCTTTAATGATATGATTTGATGATCGCTAAGGTCCCAGCTATGATATTCTAATACTATGTTTCCAATCTGTCAGCTCCAGGCCTTGCTTCCCTAGTATCTTCCACAATGCCCTGTCTCGGTCCCCAAGCTGTTGAGCGCTCTGAGGCCAGCTGTGGGAGCCGGCTCTGGAAGGGTTTAGACGCCGCCTCTCTCTCTTCTCCCGGAGCTCCGCCCTGGCTCAGGCTTCCTCCCTACCCAGTGCACCCGCAACGTCGATCAGAGAGCGAAGAGTGGGAAGCTGCCTGGTGAGTCTTAGGGAGAGGGGGATGTGACCCATCTTCGGTGCAACAATGCACCTGTAATCTAGTAATGGGTAAGGGGAGGCGGGGTCACAGTTCGTATCAGTGTCTTATACGTTCCCACCAAAGCTCCGGGAACATACTGTGTACTCCACCTTTCAGTGCCTTGTGCCTTCTAGGGAAACGTCAGTGTGCTAAGAAGCCATGTGTAAATGCGTGTGTCTGTGTGTACAAGGAAGACGTGTGTGTGTGTCTATGTACAAAGGAGATTATGGGTGAGTGCATCAGTGTGTCTGATGCCATTTGTATTTTAATGTTGTCTGCGTGTGGACAGGGTTGCTATGGGTGTGTACACTGTGTATCCTTGGCTCACTGAGTTGCCATGAGAAAAGTGTTTTGTAAACATTTTAAAGAGAAGTGTAAGTTATTATCCCGAATGTGAGTGTGCAACGGAGAACATGTGTGTATCCTTATCTGATGAATGCAAAGGAGACCTTCGATCAGTATGCTTGTGTATTCAAAGTATATAAAGAAGAGTTAGGTGTGTCAATTGTGCTCGGGATACCAATTTGTTTGAAGGCTAGAAAAATTACTGTGAGGCTAACTTTCTGTCTTTTTGCCTTCTCAACTGGTATGCTTAATGTTGAGTCGTGTCCCTTCGGGAGGCTAAGTCTGCTAGAGGGTCCGATTGTGAGAGTGGAAATCCCAAACACCCAGACCCAAAGGACTCTCCATCTCCCTCCGGCCCCACTTCCGCCGCCCGCTTCCTCCTAGTTCACTCTCCTTAGCCTGGTCCGCAGGGAGCCCTCCGCGACGCCGCCGGACGGGCGGAGCGTGGGTCGCTGTCTCCGCCAGGGCCACACCCCGCCTGGCGGGGCCGGCTAGCTCTCACGCCCACGCGGCCGCCGCCCCGTCGGAACTGCTCTCACCCGGCGGGCGAGCGCACACGCGCAGTGTTCCTTCAGAGCAAGCGGCCCCGGAGCGTCTCCTCGGACTCATCGGGAAGCCGTGGCCGTTTGGGGACTGGGACAGGGGCTGCCAGGCAGGTAGGCGAGAGCCCCGTTAAGGACAGGTGTGCCCTGGGTGTGGAGAGGAGTGGACAGGGAGGGCCCTGCCGGGCAGCTGAGGGTCAAGCAGGAAGCTACCCTCTTGGTCTTTCGGTTCCCCCTCCCCCAACCACTCCTCGCCTTTTCCTTTTTTAGGGAAATTCTTTAGCTCTCGCTCTATCTGGAGCCTTTTGGGAGCCGCTATGGGTGGGGGAGGAGGGAGAAAGAGAACTGGCTGTCTCTGAGTCTGGGTCTCCGGAGCTCATCCCCTGCCCTGTTCTTGCGGCGTCGTCAGTATCTCCTTCTCTCTCTCCTGTCATGCGCGCCTCCCCCAAGACCAGTAAACAAGGCTTTCTACCTAATGTTCACTCCCCCCCCCACCTTCTTCTACCCTCTTCTTCCCTACCTCCCTCTCTCCCCTCTTCGATGTATAGTCTTTCCTACACTCCCACTGGCCTGGGGTCCCCCGGGGAGGATGGAAAAGGATTTCTTAGGGAGGGGGTTCCTGGGCCCAGCTCAGCCCCCTCCCCCTCTTCTTCCACCCCTAGCTATCGCCCCAGCGGGGCTCAGGGGTATTTTTAGCTCGGTGACCTGGGCGGCTGCTCTAAGAGCTTTTCCCAGGGATCCTAGTCACAGCAGTTCTCCCTGTCCCCAACATTTCCCTGCTGCCAAATCTCCCGCCCCAATCTGACTTCCTCTATGCCCTTGCCAGCTCCATATTTCGGGGTCCCACCCTCCCTGACTGGCCTTCACCTAGACTTCTGAGCCCCTCAGGTCCTGTTTATCTCATTCAGATGGGCTGGGGACCCGGCTGTTTCAGATGATAAGTAGATAACCTAGAAGGACATACTGCTGGGAAAGGGTGTGTCTCCATCCTAGGACCAGGAATAGAGAGCCAGAACTCTGCTCTTAGCAGAAACCCCGTGGACAGCGGGAACACTATTCTAGTGCCTCTTTTCAAAGATGGAAGGTGCCTTCTAGCTCTGACATTTAATATTCTAAAGTCTCTTAGATATAAGAAGGTACTCAGAGAAATCAGGAGAATTGAATATAGCATTCATTTCCCTAGTTCCTTTTCATCCCCATACTCAAATAACCTACTCTGCCAATAGCTTCATGATATTAGGCAAGTGACTATAAGTTCCCTGTACCTCAGTCTCCCCCTCTGTAAAGGAATAGTGTGTGGGCCAGATGATCTCTACACTCGTTTTCATCTCTGATATGATAAATCTCTTCTGTCACTGACATAGATTCAGTCCTTGGATGTACTGATATTCTGTGTTCTAAAGTCTATTTTTTAGTTTTAACTTTTATAACAGTTCACATTTATGGATTCCTTTACAGTATATAAACTGATGTCCTCACAGATACTGAATATCTTCATTTTAAAAATGAATAAACTGAAAATTTCAGAAGCTCAGACTAAATTATTCCTAATGAGGAAACATGTAGGGAGATCCCAATACATGTCCAGGTTCCTAATTTTCTTCTCATGTCCTGGCTTTGCTAATGTGAGCAAGGTCTTTCAGACCTTTTTGTCCTGGTCCTGTTCATCCAGGCTGGCCCAACCCTTAGACTTCACAGTACTGTAGCATTTGGCAGCATTCCCCCCCTCCCCCAATAAGAGGCAGCTTCTTCTGCAGAGCCAACTTCCCCCCAGCGGTGCCTGGGACGGTCATCCCTTTTGTGGGAGCACAAGTCAGCTTCAGTATGGAAGGATAGATTGTATGTGTCTGAAGAGAGAGATGGAGATGAAAAGAAATGGACTCAGGAGGGAAGTCAAGTAAGGATAGGGGGATGTAGGTTGGAGCCAGAGATGAGGCTGGGTATTATGGTGACCCAAGCACAAGGTTAAGGCAAATGTCCAACCTTTCTGTATCCCACCATGATTTAGAATCATAGAAATTAGAATGTCAAAGCCAGAAGAAACTTTAGAGATCCTCTAGTCCAATACTTTTATTTGACAGATAAGGAAACTGAGGCCCAGAGACTTGCCTACGTTCATACAGGAAATTAATGGCAGAGCCAGAACCAAGACCCCGAGGTTACTTAGTTCTTAGTCCAGTGCTCTTTTCACTACTGCATGCTGCCTCATTGCTTTGCTTTGAGGGGCTTAACCTCCTTTCTATTCCCACAGGAGCCAGCATGGATCCCAATTCCCGTGGAGCCCTGGACAGGCAGCAGCTACGCCTTCGAGATCGACAGAAGTTCTTTGAGGAAGTTTTCCAGCAAGACTCGGAATTCTTCTTCCCTCTATCTCATCTTCACCTTGAGTCCCGGAGACGTGAGCATAGCTAGAGGGGGATGGGGTGTGTCATCCTGGTATGGGGGAAGGAAACAACCACAACACTCAGTAGATAGCCAGCCAACTTGTTGCTTGTCAGCAAGTATTTACTGAGCATTCGCTATGTGCCAGGAACTGTGTTGTACAATGGGGATCCCAAGAAAGGCCAGAACACAGTCCCTGTCTTTGAGAAGCCGACATTCTAGTGGAAGAGACATCATGGAAACAGCTATATACTTATGAGATACATACAGTATAAGTAGGAGGTGGGAATCTCAGAAGGAAGGAATTATGGGAAAGGGGAGAGGACCAGGAAAGTCCTCTGCAGAAGGTAAGATTCGAGTTCAGTCTTGAAGGAAGCCAAGGAAGCCTAGAGATTAAGGTGAGGAGAGAGAACATTCCCAGCATGTGGATATCCTATGAAAAGGTATGAGGTTGGGAAATGAGGTGTTGCATTTGAATAACAGCAAGAAGGCCAGTGTCTCTGGATCATAGTATATGTAGAAGGGAGTAAAATGTCAGAAGAGGAAAAAGGTAGGAAGGGACCAAGTTGTTAAGAACTTTAAAAGCCAAATGGAAGATTTTAGAGGTGATAGGGAGCCACTGGCATGTATTGAATAGGAGTGACATGGTTAGACCTGCACTTTAGGAAAGATCAGTAATTGAGTGAAGGATGGATTGGTTGTGGAAAGACTGGAGGCAGGGCCCTGGTCACCACTGAGAGCCTACTGCTCATGGTCTCGTTTTGCTTCTGAAGATTCTGCATTAGGACCTTCCTTAGCCTCTCAACCTTGGTGGCTGACCTTCTTTTAAATCTCTTCCCTACTGCCTATACAGGATCAGTTCATCAGCTTGTTATGACCCTTACATAATCTGACACCAAGACCTGAGTCCAACATTACTTCCTGGTCCTTGACTTTGTGCCTTCTCTGACCAAACCGGATGTCTTTCTCCTTGAATTTATACTCACCGATCCCCAAGCCTAGAATAGCCTCTATCCATATCTCTACCTTTTAGAATCTTCTTTTAAGATCCAACACAGGTGCTACCTCTTTCTCAAGCCTTCCCAGATTATCTTTCCTCCTCACATCTCTCAGGTCACTGAAATCTCTCTCTCTTTCTCTCTCTTTCTCTTTCTTTTTTTCCCTGTCTCTCTCTCTCTCTCTGTTTCTCTCTGTCTCTCTCTTTCTCTTTCTTTCTCTCTCTCTCTCTCTCTCTCTCTCTCTCACACACACACACACACACACATTCCTGTGTACTTAATAATTTTGTGGGAGTAGCTATTATAGTTACTTGTGTACTTATTCCATCTGCCATGAGAGTAGAGTGTAAGCTCCCTGAAGGCAGGGATTTTGACTTACTTCATCATTGTATCCTCAGCACAGAGCCAAAGACTCTGTGTCAAGCAGTTATTTAATAAACCTTAGTTGAATTTGGATGGAATTGAATTGCTATTCCTGATTCCCCAGTGTCGTAGAGGGTGGATCAGTTCCAGATCCCCTCTGAGGTAGTTCAGTTCAACAAACATTTGTTAACATAGATATATTGAATGAACAGAACTATCCTTGGCGTCTTTCCTGGATTCTCCCTGTCTCCCTGATCCACTCCTTGCCTGCATTTTGTTCCCTTCTGGAGCAATTCCAAAGTCCCCTTGGAAATACAAAGACAAAGGAAAGCTCCTTTCACCAGTCATTAAACAATTGTCAAGGACTTGCTGTGAATGTTGCACTGTCCAAGGTGCTGGGAGAGAGCCAGAGTTTACATAAAACTCTCTGCCCTCACAAAGCTTACAGTGGAGTGTAGGACAAGGCAAAACAAATAACAGTAAACACACTATATAATACAGAATTTGACACTTATTAGCTCCTAAGGCTTGGGCAGGTCACTTCCCTTCAGCTTACTCATCCCCATTTAAAACAGGGATAAGAATATTTGCATTACCTTCCTCATTAAGGTTGTTGTGAGGGCAACAGCTTGTGAACACAGAAATACCATAGAAATGTGAGTTATTATTATTGTTATTCATACAACTATTTATTATCATATTACATGATAAACACATAAAAAAGCGCCTATGTCTTCTAACTGTCTTCAGTGTAGGAGATTGAAATCTTTAGTAAAAGAAAAACATGTCTAATAATAATTGCTGACATTTACAAAGCACTTTGTTGTTTATAGAGCAATTTAAATCATCATGAGTTATCTAAATTTATCTTTATGGTAACCCTGTGAGGTAGCTTGTGTTAATACCCCCATTTTAGAGATAAAGAGACAGAGGCCCAGAGAGATGAAGTCACATAGTGAGTCAGTGGAAGAGCCCAAAGTCCATGTCTTTTGTCTCCAGATGTGGTACACGGCACTGCTGAGCCCTTCCTGGCAAGGGGTGGCTTGGACTGGTGTGGTAAGAAGAATCTGGGGTACAGAGTTGGCTCTTTTCTCCTGGGCACAGTGGAATTGGCGGGTCCTCCATGTAACTCACTTGCCTCTCTTCCCAGCTCCCATAGGCAGCATCTCTTCTATGGAAGTGAATGTGGACACACTGGAGCAGGCCGAATTGATTGACTTTGGGGACCCTGATGCTTCAGATGTGTTCTTGCCCTGTGAGGAGCTCCCACCTACTCCACAGCCACCCACCATCTCTGGTATGTCTTCTCCCCTCAGGGCCTATGGCTTCTACAGTCCTCCTTCTAACTGAGGAATTTGCAGTGGCAGGACATGGACATGTTTAGTTTGGAGAAGATAACACTTAGAGGGCTGGAGCAGGAACGATAGCTGTCTTCCGGTATCCTAAGGACAGTCTTAGGGAAGATCCAACACATTTGTTCTTTGTGGTCCCAGGGAGAGGACTAGGACCAGTGGAAGTAGGGATGTGGTTTATAACAAAAACACTGAGTTTGAGTCCTTGCTCTACTATTTACTGTCTATGTGACCTTGGGCAAATCACTTAACCCCTCTGTGCCTCAGTTTCCTCCATTTAAAAGGAGGGAGTTGGACTAGTTGATCTCTATCTAAGTACTTTTCCAGCTCAGAATTCCATGATCCTAAAAGAGCTTCCTAATTACATGAGCTAGTAAGTTCCCTAGAGGCAGCTAGATGGATAGATCCCTGGACCTGGAGTCAAGAAGACCCGAGTTCAAATTGGGACTCATACACTCCCTAGCAGTGTGACCCTGGGTAAGTCTCTTAACCTCTGTCTGATTTCCCCCTCTGTAAACTGGGAATAATAATAGTACCTGCCTCTCACAGTTGTTGTGAAGATTAAAATGAAATAATATTTGTAAGCACTTTGCAAATATTAAATCTTTCTAAGTATCATCATCATAACTATCATCTATTATTCCTTGTCACTGGGAAGGCTCAGTCAAGCAGGAAGTTCCCTCTCCCTCTCCCTCCTCCACTTCAGGGGGGCGCTGAATGCCTATTTGTCAGACAGTGCAGCATTTGCAGGGTTCCTGCTCCAGGACCAGTTGCCTCACTGCACTCTGAGATGCCTCCCAGCTCAGTGTATGCTGCTACCCAAGCGCAGTTATCCTGGTGACAAGCCCAGGCATCTCTCTCCATCTCCCTGACTGGACTGTGTGTTCAAGCTTTGGGAAACAGTAGGACTGGGGACAACTGGGGTAAGGAGGTGGTGGCAGTGTTTCTAAAAATTTTGAGTTTTCCTTTGCCAAATTTTCAGGAAAAGGCTCCTTTGCCCTTTGTTAATTGTAAAATAAACAGATGGCCAGCCCTCCTTCCACTCTTCCTCTGGCCCTGCTAATTACAGAGCCAGATTGGGCAGTATAGAGAAAAGGAGGCAGCTGGCAGGGACTGTGGTGTGTCTCCTTGGCTTCATCTCCTGTTTGCTCTCCATTGCCTTTTGGACCTTCTCCATGTAGAATAAGGTTATATTGTGGAATGAGCACCCAACAACCTGAGTAATGGTTCTCCTCCTATGGATCTAAAGGACTGAACTGAAACAGACACTTTGTGTTAGAGCTGAAAAAGGTCTGAGAGATCCACGCTCTCATTTTATTTAGAGGGAAGAAAATTACTTGTCCAAGGTCATACAGAGAGTAAGTGGCAGACTGGCTTCAGACCCAGAAGAGCTGGTTCCACCTCAGAATACCCAAGATGACCTCAGGGAGAGGAACCCAAGAATGAAGCTCTAATGAGAATTTTGAGTGGCCTGGCACCTGGGTGGGGGAAGCTTTTTTTGGCAAGCCGCCTTTCCTGGCAGTGGCAGGATGGCGCTGGAACCACCCCCACCCCCTGGGAGGCCCCACCTGCTGCAGAAAGCAGGCAGCTGGGCTCTGTGACTCAGGCCTGGAGGAGGAGGAGGAGGAAGCAGGATACAATTAGCAAATACAATTACTGACATGGCTAGGACTCCCAGTCTTCTCCTCCTATTATCACTCAGGCAACAAGCTCCTCTATCCCCCTCTTGCTCTTGGGATTCAGTTTAACCTGTTTTCCTAGAATTCCAAAATATCAGAGCTGGAAGGAGAGGACTTAGTGAAGGACATGAGACGTAGAATGTCAGACTTAAAAGGAGAGTCTCTCTATTTTACAGAATAGGGCGAGTGAGGGGAAGTGATCCCCCACAGGTCACAGAGGGAGGGAGGTAATAGCAGAGCTGGTACCCACTCCCACTTCATGGCTTTTCCAACTATACCAATAAGTAAACCTGTGGGAGAAAAACCTTTGAATAACTGGTATAACCATGTTCTAAGATAGGAGTTCTTAACCTGAGATCCTTGATATTTTGGTAACAATGTTTTAGAATAATTGATTTCTTTTGTAATCCTATGTGCTTTATTTATGCATTTCAAAACATTATTCTGTAAAGGGATCCGTAGGTTTTACTAGACTGCCCAAGGGTTCCATGATGCAAAAAAGGTTAAGAACCCCTGTTATAGGGAGTGACAGTTGTGCATTGTAGGATTGATTGATTAGTTTTTTTAATTTTTAAAAAATTTTTAAAGAAGCAATTGGGGTTAAGTGACTTGCCCAGGGTCATATGGCTAATAAGTGTCTGAGGCTGGATTTGAACTCATGTCCTTTTCACTTCAGGGCTGGTGTTCTATCCACTGTGCCACCTAGCTGTCCCACAATGTGTGATTTATACTGGTCCCAATGAAGCTCCTAGTGGGGAAGGGTCACTGCCCAGATGGAACCCTTTATACCACACTATTAAGAAACCAAATACTCCTTAGGTCTGTCTTGCCCTGCTTGGCTACTGACCAGTGCTTCTCTTTGATTAGGTGTAGGTGACCACCCAGAGGACCTGAACCTGCAGAGGCCCCCATCAGACAGGACCATGTCAAGGACCTCCTCTTCCTCTTCTTCCACTGAACTTAATAGCCCAGACCTGATTGGAGATGGTGTGGACACGCCTTTGGCACAGTCTGATGAGGAAGATGGTGGTGCAGAGCCTGCAGCCTGCAGCTAGCAGTGGGTGCTTCCCTTTGGACTGAACCATATGGGGCTTGGTCACCGCCTAATTTGGAACCCCAGCCTTTGCTAGGAGCCTTTGGGGAAAAGGCCAGACCTTTCCTGAGCAGTTGGTACCAGAGGGAGAAAACTATGCAGCCTTCCAGAAATTAACTCTCTCCTGCTTTTCTGCTAATGCTTGCCGGCCTCCACTGCACAAATCTACTCATGACCTACATAGGCAACGATTGAATTAGGGGGATGTGGGGAGAGGTGGAAGGTAAGATAGGACACTGTCCACACCACATTTCAGAAGGGCCAGAGAAATCATCCCACTCTCTTTTTAGTGGACTTGACCAAGAGGACTTGTGGATGTAAATATGCCACTGCACTTCCTTCCTTCTCTCAGTGAAATGCTATACAAACCATCCTCCTTTCCTCTCCTTCTTAAAATGATAGATCTGCTATCCTGCTTTCTCATTTCTCCCACTGTTATGCTTCATTAATCTTTTCACCTTATTTCACATATTGAAAAGCCATCCCAAACAGTCCCACTTGCCTTTTTGTCTCTTTTTAAGCACAGCCATTGGGGTCCAGGATGGTCATTTCCTAGTCTTATTTCCAGGCCTTTCCTTACCCTGAAGAGACTGACCCTCTCCAGCTCAGTGTGAGGCCTCACGGCTGCCACATTGCCAACACCAGCTCACTGTCTATGGGGGGATGATGTGTTTGGGCAAAATGTAGCAGCCTCTCCTGGCTCCAGGAAGGTTGGGACCCAGATCCTCTATCCCCAACCAGCAAACCTTGGTGCTGAGACTATCTCCTGTGCAGCCAAAGGGGCAGTGGCTGACCCTCCTGGGGCAGGGTCTGCAGTTTTGTTTCTCTTGGCCCTGAATCTCCCTACAGGAGGGACAAAGCCTCAGGGGGCACTTTAGCAGTCTCTCTTCTCAAACCTGACCACTCATTGCTTCATCACCAATCTCAGAGCAGGGCCAGCACCTGTGGTCTGACTAGGACCATCTAGTTTTAGGTTTTATAACTAAAAGGGACCTTAGGTCATCTAGTCCAATTCCTTCATTTTACAGATGGAGAAATTGAAGCCCAGAGCCATTAAAGTGACATGTCCAAGGCTATTCAGGTAGGAAGTAGTCCCAGGCAGGTAGTAGTGACCCCTGCACTCAGTGCCACACTGCTTCTGCTCCACAGTTCAGCTTTGATGCCTCCCCCGCCACCCTTTTCCATGGGGTTCCCATTGTGGATGGCTGGAGACCAGCATGTCTGGGCTGCTGCAACAGCAGACTGTGGGTTAATAAATCTTTTGATTCCAGCAGGCATGTGCTATCATTACCCTTGTGTGTGTATGTGTGTGTGTGTGTGTGTGTGTGTGTGTGTGTGTGTGTGTGTGTGT